AATTAAAAAAACTCTAAAATTTTTATATATCACATAGTCTTATTGTTTTTTCTTTATATAAGCAATACAGTTTTTAAATCCTCCTTAGTCGCAAGTTATCAAATCAATTTTGTATTTATATTTCCATGTTAAGATAGCGTAATGGTTAGCGTATTAGCCTGTGGAGCGATATTGCTATAGAACAGTTGAAATTTGACACTGTTCTAACTATGTTTATTTTATAGTTTCCTTTTTTTATTACATTAAATTTTAAAATTTTTATTAAGAATAAAAATATTTTGCATGTATTTTTAGGTAATAATCTTGCAATAATGGTTATTGATTTATTTTATAGTTGTTACAAAACAATTCTAGAACTGTTACAAATACATTTGTAAACATATTCTAGATCTGTTACAGAATCTTACATATCCGTTGAGTACGACATTTTGCGTATCCAGTGACTCACAGGTTCTTAACCAGTTACAGAACCTGTTCTCAAAAAATTTATAACAGTTCTATAACTGACCTGTAACAGTGTTTGCTGGGTATGCTTTTGAATCAATAATTTTTATACCTTCGGCAGAAATGCTGTTAATTCAATAGCATTTTTTTCTCAGTGTAGTAAAATATCATTTAACATTAAGAATTAGATTTCTTAATTTTGGGGTGATCCGTTTGAGAAATATAGTTACAAATTGATTTTTGTTTATAAATTAAGTTAAATTAAAACAATATTTTTAAAAAAAGTGATTTGTCTCTTGAGTGGCTCTTTCCATGTAGAATGAGCTTTTTGGATGTTGCACCCCAGCTGATATTTGTCATGTGTGAGGCATGTTTTTCTCGATCAATAGATCGCTGTATAGCAAATCAACGATCCAACGATCTAGCAGCGGGAGATCGTGTAGAGATCGTTTGTTCCACGATCTCGCACGCGGCATATATATATATATATAAGAATCATACCGTTCCGGGGTCGTATAGATACACACCGCGAGGGCGACTTCATACCACTTTGAATCCGTGAGAAGTGCGCCTCTTGCATGAACATACAATAATCTACACACTGTATTTATGCAAGGGCATGACATTGAAACTGATAAAGAATTTTTTTTTCCTTCGAATTTTATCGCAGTTATTCATTTGTTATAACCAGACATGAATATTCTCCACTTTGACATTGTTTGCGTCATGACAATTTATACATTCACTGAATATCTTCGTTTACAAATATATATATATATATATTTAGCGGGAGAGTCTAATAAAAATATTTCTCATTACTTTCAATTTTATCTTCAAATTAGACTATATACAATAAAAAAAAAAATGTGACTCTTCATGAGGGAAGGGACCTTAAGTTAAAAAATTTTTAGGTTATGTATATGACTTTTAGAGTGAAAATACTCACCAGAGAATTAAACTCTTAATATACAAAACATTTATGTTTAAGTCTCCATTAAATTCAAAATAAACTAATTTTGATTTTATCTAATTAAAAGGAAACTTTTTACTAAGATAATACTATCACTATAAACATAATCTAAAAATTTTTTGACCTACGATCCCTTCTCTCGTGAAGCGACACATATATATATATATCAGTTTTCTATTGTAATAAAAATAGAATTAAAAAATATTTGAATTTAACTTTTTTCTACAATTTCTTTAGAATGTTGAGTTAAGAAAAATTTTTTTTTCTACCTCCTATATAACGTTGAGCTTTGGAAAGAGAGGGTATATGTAAAGAAGTAAAAATATTTCCCACATAGATTGTATTATTTGTTATTTGAAACCTGGTATTTTGTTACATAAATACAATTTTTGTATTCTAAATCTGATACCAAAAATATTAGACGCCTTCATATTTAACATATATCTCGTTAAATATTCGCCAAAAATAAATTTTTTCAATCATGTCTTATATATTTTCAAAGAATGAACACTTAATCGCAATAGAAAAATGAAAGTATCATTATTTTATCTTTTCGAATTTATCAAAAATGAAAGCAATCACTATTTCCCATCGTACAAATAGAAAAAAAAAGAAGTTTCCTTTTGCAAAATGATCCTGTTGTGAATATAACCATTGTGTACTTAAATTGTTCATTGTGACAAATATAATGTGACACAAAAGAAAAAAGAGCATTTGACCACATCACAATGTAGAAAATTAAGATAGTTATCAACACTCACAATATCGATATACAAGATCATTGTTGCTTTACGGAAAGAACTGTCAAAATAAATAAACTAAGAAATAAATCATCCTCATATATACATGGGAAAACATCGAAGGGGTCAAAAAGATTTTTATCCCGCGACCATTGATTGAAACTAGAAAAAAAAATTACAACTATATCAACAGGAAGTATATAAATTTGAATGCGAGTATATCAAATCCTAAAATCGAGTTTTCACGGATATTTATAAGAAATGAAAAAAACGGAAGTGTATTTGTAATGTTTAGAAAAATGAAAGTATTTGCGCAAAAAAAAGCAGAGTTCTCATCTTTGAAAATCTATTTGCAACCAGAATAGAATATGATCGATCGATTCAAGATGTGATGAGAACTATAAGTTTCTTTAGATGCCAGCTGGCTGAATCAGTACCCATGTGGAAAATAGTCATGGCACTATAACGATACTCTCTAGTTTTTCTTGATACTATACTGGCGCGACATAGATAATCTGTACACGGAGAAAAAGAAAAAGTAATTTTTACTACTTTCAGAGTAAAACTGGACCAACTCGAAGTTTCTGCGCATCTCTGGCAATTTTTACTCCAAAAATAGTAAAATTTATTATTTCTGTAGTAAATTTTACTGTTTCCGTAGTAAGTTTTACTATTTCTAGAGCAAATTTTACTATTTTTGGAGTAAAAATTGCCAGAGATGCGCAGAAACTTCGAGTTGGTCCAGTTTTACTCTGAAAGTAGTAAAAGTTACTTTATAAAAGAAATCTTTTTTCTCCGTGTACAGAAACTATCTAAAAGTGTAACGATTTGATAGACTAGTTACTATGTAGTTTTAATATATAGTTAAACTAGATAGAAACTATATCGTAAATCTAGATTTATCTAGCAGACCTATATATATATATATATACAGAAGAAATTCATCTCTACTATTGGCCCTCAGCAAGTAATGGACAAACAAGAAATGGAAAAACCAATGAGAAGCTTCATTTATTAAAAAGTGTAGAGGGGAAGAATTTCTCCTACGCGTCACCGTCCGTGACGCAAGCGATATTTTAGGTTATGATGATTGTTTTTGTTAGCAGTGTTGGAAGAAAGTTAATATCAATAAATCACTTTTCAGAAGAGTGACTAAAATAAAAGTAAAATTGTTGACAAGTTTATATGAGGGTAAGTCCACGTCAGAAATATTAGAATCTGCAAGTGGTTCTTCGATTTTAATGATACTTGGTAAAATTATAGCTTTATATAAGAGCAATGTGTAAGTAAAAGGAATTTTTAAAATATCTAAAATTGTAGGAGTTATATCACTTTTAATTTTGATACTGCATTTTTTTCTTTCCTTTATATCTCGGTCAATTTTCAACCAATTTTGATGAATCAAAAACGATTTTTTTTCAGAAAATTACGTATTTTCAGAAAATTTTAAAATAAAAATAAAATTTTGTTATTTAAATAGAAAAAAGTAAAAAACAAAATTTCTTTTAGATTTTTTTTCAATTTTGACCTCTTTTTTTTAATTTTTAATTTTTTAATAATATTCCTTTTTATTTTATCTTTAATTTTAAAAAAAATTCATCCTGGAGACTTTTTTAGATCTCGTGATATCGTTCTTTAAATATCCACATCTCAAGAAAACTAGGATCCAGATTTGTGTTTCTACTTTCATTTGTTTTATAATATTATTGTTACAAACTAGAAACTTTCGCGTAATAATGTTTTTATTTTTAAATTACTTGACTAAAACAAGTGAAAATTCAAGCAAATCAATATTTTATTAATAGATTTGAAGCAAAGTTTTTATTTTTTGTAATATTTATAATTTAAAAAAAATTGTAATGAAACCTTAACAATGCAACCTGAAATTGTAGCTGACGTTTTTAGCGCTTTGTTTTTAGAGGATTCTAAAACAAATAGTTATTCATAACCATAAAAAATTTCAACAAACAAATGAAAGTAATGATAGAAGCAAGTCCTGCGGTTTTCAAATTGATGAAGACTTATAATATTTAAAGGACGATAGCACGAGATCTAAAAAAGTCTCCAGGATGAAGTTTTTTTTAAATTAAAGATAAAATAAAAAGGAATATTATTAAAAAATTAAAAATAAAAAAAAGAGGTCGAAATTGAAAAAAAATCTAAAAGAAATTTTGTTTTTTACTTTTTTCTATTTAAATAAGAAAATTTTATTTTTATTTTAAAATTTTCTGAAAATACGTAATTTTCTGAAAAAAATCGTTTTTGATTCATCAAAATCGGTTGAAAATTGACCGAGATAGAAAGGAAAGAAAAAAATGCAGTATCAAAATTAAAAGTGATATAACTCCTACAATTTTAGATATTTTAAAAATTCCTTTTACTTCATTGCTCTTATATAAAGCTATAATTTTACCAAGTATCATTAAAATCGAAGAACCACTTGCAGATTCTGATATTTCTGACGTGGACTTACCCATGAATAAATTATATTTTACTGAATTATTTGTGTTATTATTTGTCGTTCAAAAAGTATTGGTCAGAGCATCAACATTGCTTAAGAAAATAGTAATTATTTTTAAAAATACAAAATTTAATATAATATCAACTGTCTCAACCTGCATACATCTCCCCTATAAAATAATTAAATAATACTAATTTATATTACATAGCTGTATATAGTTTACGAATTTATAAAATTAATTAAATACATATGCTAAAGTAATAATAATTATAATTTTATATGTATTTTATGTATATATTTTAAATAATAATTTATTAATTATTCTAACATATAATATTTATAATATAATATATTCTTATAATATTGAAATTCTGTACAGTTTCTATTCAGTTAACTACAAGCAAAAAGGTTATGTTAATTCTGTTTAAACTAGGACTTTTCTAGATAGTTTTGTCAAAATTTAACTAGACAGTGAAACTAGATAGTTTCACTGTACAGATTCATGATAATATCTGAATAGTTTTACGTTTCTAGTTAAACGTTACAAAAACTTTATAGATAATATGTCGCACCCAGTCTTCCATGATTATTTTCTACATGGGTAACATTTTTTAGAAGCGTCAAAGTGTGCGCGCGCCTGCAATATCATCATTTCTAAAATTTATTTGTAAATAAATAAAATTAATTCAAAATTTAAAAAAGTCATTAATCGAAATTCATTGAAAACTCTCGAATTCATTAATTAAAACACTTTATTCATTAATTACATTTGTAATTCGTGTTATTTCTTTCATTATCTTTTTGTACCATTCATATTTATCATTATTTTTATGATTATACATAAGTTCCACCTTTAAACAATCACCTAAATTAAAAAGTTGAATTTCTGTAATGTTTACAATAGAAAATTCAGTTCCTGGTAAAAGAATTGATATAGTTTCATTAAATTTATAAAATTGACTAATTTTTGCTCTAAAATAAGATTGACTAAATTTCATTTCATACAAAATATTTTTATAACCAGACAATGGAACTGTAGCTAAATTAATTGAATACATTAAATTTGTATAGGACATGGAAAATTTCTGCAAATTATATATTTTTCTTGAAATTAATGTGCTATTAATAATGTCTATGGGTTTAGCTTCAATACTATATAATGTTAAATCAAATTCATCATCTGGATCATCAGATTGTCTTATTGCTAATTTATATAAAGCAATTTTCATAAAACTCGCCATATAAGTATTGCCTGTTATTTTTCTATATCCATTTGTCACGAAATTTCTTATAGCATAGTAATCTTCAAATGTGGTAAGATAATATGCATTTTGATCGTGAAAATCTGTAAGTATACTTATTAGCGATTGTTTCTCTTCAATTTTCTTTCTTTCTTGAAATGTGTAATGTAATTTAATTCTAATGGTACCATTATAGTTTGATATATAAGAATCATCTAGTTGTAGGTCGTATCTTAATTTTAATAGAAGTTGAGGATTCTCTATTCTATAGTGTTCAGCCCACTCAGGTATTTTTAAATCTTTATCATTTATCCAAGTTTCCATAAATTGTAAATCAATTCTATCTTCATCTGGAAATATGAACATCTTCATTGTTTCCATTATTTGCTCTTTTGTAAGATTTACTTGTTTCTCTAGGGCTAATTTTATAACCTCTTGCAGATTCCACCATTTTTTCATGCGACGTGCATGTCTTGGACAATCTGTTAAAGGTATTGATATTTGTAAATATATCTCAATGTCACATTTTTCTTTATTAAAAGAATGCATAGATAATCCAAAAGATACACATTTTTTAACATTCTTTTGTAGTTGATTATTTATTTCAAATATGTAATGTTTTTTTTTTACAAAAGTGTCATTATTAACTATAGAGTACATTTTTTCGCCATCTAATTCACTGTGTATTAAATGAACAAAATTTTTTGTTTTGTCCTCATAGTCTGTTCTTAGAAATGCAATTTCATTTTTGTTTAAATAGATAAATTTGTAACCATAACCAGTGTCAAGAGTAGAGTTATAAGTATTTGTGTACAAATAACGATTTGTTTTTTTATCAAAAACATTTATTTGCCTTAAAACATTAGATTTCAAAATATATAAATTATTAAGAATGTTTGTAAAAGATGTAAAAGAAAAATTAGTTTTACTTTGTAATCTATAAATTATTGTATGAAAAAATAATAGATATTTATTAGTTATGAAATTAATTTGAAATTCAGGTTCATCTATGTGTAATGATAATTTCTCAAAAAATAATTTACAAATATTTTTTGTTTCAAGCAATTGTAATATATATTCTATACTTTTTTCTGTAAATTTTGAATTCTCATCAACAACATTCTTCATAAAAATTGTTCTAATTGATGTTCCTAATGAAGAAAGGAATAATTTTGTATTTTCTTGAATTATAAATGAAGAGATATCTTTCTTAAAATTATTTAAGAATTTAAATTCATTTATTTCGCATGAATTTTCTTTGTTAATATTTTCCGATGTTATTTCTATTTTACACTGATAAAACGGCACCAATGTTAATCCAAATTCATTCCACCATTTATTTAATGTTCGATCGGTGCCAGAAAATTTTAGATATGATTCAATTCTTAATTTTTTATACGCTATTAATTGTTGCCAAAATAAATCCATAGTCTGATTAGCTGATTTTAAATGAATGCGATGAAACCGATGATTTAGTAATGTTTGAATATTAACATTAATTACTTTTTCAAAGTCTTTGCCATTAACTAGTTTAATTAATTTAGTAGTATATTTTTCCCGCATTAATGCAAAATAATCTGAAGTTGCATTTTCAGGATTGTAAAATTCAAATAAATCATATGATAATCGTGTAGAATTATCAAAGATACCATGTACGATGTAATCAGCAGGGGCTAATAAATCTATATCAATTTTATCATATTTTAAATATTTTAATAAAGGTTCTTCAAATGATTGTTGAATTGATTTTAAATCATGCTTTTCAAATATGTCACTAATTTTATTTATATAATTCATAAACCAGTCCGATAGAGTTGTAAAAGAAAATTCCTGGATACATGAAAAGTTTGCTGACATATTTAAATTTTTAGAAATTATTGATTCTGTTTCTTCTAAACTTGAATGTTTGCAATGAATGTTTCTTGATAAATCTTTGTAAAATCTTGAAAGAAATTTGTGCAATTGATAATTAGTGTCTATTATTAATTTACTTTTTATTTCATTAAAAAGCGAATCTATATGTGAAAAAAGATTTTCATAAGCTGCTTTCCAGTAATCAGAATCAAAATTAATATTTTTTATTTTTTCATTTTCAACAGACTCCCGAGAAAGATGAAGAAAAAGAGCTGGCAGAGCAAATGCTTGTAAACATCCAAAACTAATATTTTCATTAAATATATTATTATGTATTATTAAACCTGTTATTAAGTATTCGTCAAATAAAGTTTCTTGATTTAAAATAGTTGAATTGAAATTAAAATCTGTATAATAAGCAGTATTAATTCTACCGGGTTGAAGAAAATTTGATCCAGCTTGTGCATAAATGTAATCAAGTGACAATAGAGTAAGATTAGTCTTTGGTTGAGGAAATAACGGTGAAATGATATCTGTAAATATTCTATTTACTGCTAATGAAGATAGTTTGGAGTATTTGGCGTACTCGTTTTCAAATTTTGCATTTCTAAGCATAATTATTATTTCCCTTAGAAACAAATCTAATTGCAAATTTTTTACTTTACGAAAAACATCAGCCAAGAAACCATAAATATTTGTATATTTGTCAAAAACAAGGGATTTTATAATATAGTTGAACATGGTATTCACAAAAATTACATCAATATTTTCGTTTTCTTCTTCTCCATATAAGTCACTACCTTTTAACAAATATCTAATTAGTTTAAGTTTCATTTTTTGATTATCATGATAGTCTTCTAAATACTCATAAAGTGCATTAACAACTGGAATTTGTCTGTTTTGATCAACTTCTGGCAAATATTTTTCAATGAATAAGAAATCACTGAGTGCGTACAAGCAGCTAAAGATTGGTAAAAAATTTACTGTCTCTATAGGATTTGTGTAGGGTATGTTATCCATTATTAAAAATTTAGTTCCTTTTTTCAATAATGACTTTTCATTCAATATTCACGGATGTTTTAACACAGTAGAAGTATGAAATCTGTTAAAAATGAAATTATTTATATACAATTACAAATGTTTTAGAAATTTTCATCAATTAATTTAATATTATATTAATTCTTATATATTTAAAAAAATATATATTTAATTATGACGTAGTAAATAATTTTTTATTTAATGAACTAATTAGAATTAAATTAGAAAAATAATAAATACAAATTCTATGTTTAAATAAAAAAAATATTTCCAGAATATAAATCATTGTGTTTTTGACATATTTATAAATATTTTAATATAAAAATTTAATTTCATTAATTTTTAAAAATTATTTCTAATACGCAACTAGGAAAATTTTATTTAATCAGTTTCCAACTAAATATTTTTTTAGTTTTTTTTTTTTAAATATTAGTTTTTAAAAATTATATTAAGTTTCTTTAGAAAATATTTGCAATACCTAGAATAAGATGCGTTGATGGTAACTTTGTAACGTGCTGCCTTATTTGTTAATGACATTTATACCATTTTTTTAAGTTAAACAATTTTTTCTTATATATATTTACTATAGGTATGATATATTATTTATCCACATTTTATTTATACAACTGTAAATTTAATACTTTAATCCTACTTATTAACTATGTAAGACACTTTGTAATTTTATAAAAAATAAATTTAAACAAGTGTTAAAATTTAAATTTGTTGGATTAAAAAAAAAAAATAAAAAATTTAGAATAATTACAAAAGGGCACTGCCCGTATACATATGAATAAATAAATAATGAAATAAAGTTTAAAATTATTACACAAATTAATATCACTAAACTATATGTTGAACAATATTAAATAAGAATTAAATTTAACAATATATTTATTTAAATAAATACTTAATAACAGTGTGTTCGACAGCTATATGTAGATCGAAAGAAAAACAAATAAACTATACTTTACATACTTTACATATTATACTTTTTTTTATCATTGCTAATCGGAGGATCTCACATTTAAAATAGACTTATTTATTTATTGTTAATTATTTACATAATATTTATTAACTATTCATTACTTTAATAATTATACATAAATTTCACATGTAAACAATGACCTATATCAATTTATTCGATGTTTTACGAGAAAAGTAGTAGAAAAATTAATCAATCACATATGATTTAACGCTATTAACGAACATTTATAAATATAAAAATGTTTTATAGTTTAGACAAAAGTCGTGTGATTTCTTTCATAATACTTTTATACCATTCGTATTTCTCTTTACTTCTATGATTATATATTAATTCAACTTTTAAATAGTTACCTATTTTGAAAAATTTCTCTTCACTAACTCTTACAATGGAAAATTCAGTTCCAGGCAATAGAATTGGTATTTTTTCATTAAAATGATACAATTTTTTAATATTTGCTCTAAAATAAGGTTGAATAAATTTCATTTCATATAAAATATTTATATATCCAGGCATTGCAACATCAGAGAAACTAATAGCAGATAATTCAGTAACATGTGTCATTGAAAATTTTTTCAAAATATGTATTTTTCCTGATACGAATGTTCTGTTAACAATATCAATAGGAACGACTTCAGTTCGAAATAAAATTGTATCAAATTCATTTTTTGGATCATCTGATTGTCTTATTGCTAATTTATATAAAGCAATTTTCATAAAAGTTGCCTCATGTGTACTCTCCGTTATTCTCGTATAACCGGTTGTGACAAAATTTCGAATCGCATAGTAATCTTCAAATGAAGCAGCATAACGTGCCTGTTCCAAATTAAAATTTTCAATTATTTTCTCCAATGACATTCGTCTCTCAATTTGCTGTCTATTTTTGAAGGAGTAAATGGAATTAATTATTAATCTTCCATAAAAGTTTGTTACATTAATAATTTCAAGTTCAAGTTGGTTTTTTAATTTAAAGAACAGAGCATAATTGTCAATAATATACTCTTTACCCCATTCTGGTAATGTCAAGTCTGTACTTTTCGACCAATCTTCCACAAATTTTAAATCCATACGACCTTCATCTGGAAATGCATATAATTCCATTGTTTCCATTACCAGTTGTTTTGAAAGATTAGAATTTCTTGTCAAAGCAACTTGTATACATTCAGTCATATGTCGTTGCTTTTCCACGATACGTTTATGCAATGAACATTCCAGAAACGTTGATACTTTATTTTTGTTAATTCCACATTTTCCGTCATCGGTAGGATGCATATATATTCCTACAAAGTCATCAGCATCAATTCTCTTTTGTAGTTGGTTATAAAATTCATATATGTACCGCTGTTGAAGTACGAAAGTGTCATTCTGAATTAACGAATACATTTTTTCTCCATTAGGTTTAGTATAATTAAAAGTAATAAAAAATTTTTTATTTACTTCAAAATCAGTTCTTAAATGTGCAGTTTTAAATGGGGCTAAATAAATAAACTTATAACCGTAACCAGTATTAGTAGTTAAATTTTCACTCTTTATGTATAGAGTTTGTTTTACCCTATTACCCAAAATATTTATTTGTCTCGAAGAATTAGATTTAAAGATTTGCATATTATGTATATAATTTTTAACATTAATAAAGGAATAAAGCTTTTTGTTTTGTAATTCAGAAATTTTTAAATTTAGAAACATTAGATTTTCATTAGTTATTGATTCAATTTCAAATCCAGGTTCCTCTAAATGCAATGACAATTTTTCAAAATGTTCCATGGTATTTGTATTATTTTGTAGTTGTATTGGTTTTTTTGTATTTAATTTGATTGTGTAATCACTTAATTCATCAGTTATATTTTTCAAATAAATTGTTTTAATAGTTGTACCTATTGAGGAGAGTAATGTTCTCGTTTTTTCTGGAATTATTAATACAAATATATTATTAGGTAATTCATTAAAATACTTTATTTCATTGAATTCGCCTACAGATTGAACGTGAGAATTATCCTGTGCTTTTTCTATTTTTGACTTATAAAACGGCACCAATGTTAAACCAAATTCTTTCCACCAATCACCTATTTTTTGATTAATGCCAGAAAATGATAAATATGATTCAAGTCTTACTGTCTTATAGGCTATAAATTCTTTCAAAAATAAATCCATATTCTGGTCAACTGATTTTAAATGTATACGATGAAACCTATGACTTAGCAGTAGTTGAATATCGACACCAATTTTATCTTGAAAATTTTCATCATTATCAGCTACTTTGATTAATGTGGTAGTATAATTTTCTCGCAATAAAACATAATATTCTGTAGTTTGATTTTTATGATAGTTAAACTCAAACAAATCGTATGGTAAACGTGTAGCACTATCAAAAATGCCATGCACGACATTATCTTTTGGAGCTAGTAAATCTATATCTACGTTAGCAGAATTTAATGATTTTAATAAAGGTTTTCCAAATGATTGCTCAACTGACTTCATATCATGCTTTTGAAATGTTTCACTAACTATATTTAAATAATTAATAAACAATTGAGATAAACTTGATATCATAATTTCCCCACGGCATTCATTTAAAAGTAAAAGAACTGGTGAATTTATTTTTTCTCCTGAACTTAGATGTTTGCAGTTAATGTTTAACATGTCTTTAATTTTTGCCAAATGTTTGTAAAATTTTAAAAGGACAATGTGCAATTCATAATTTGTGTCATTACTCAGTTCATCATTTATTTGATAAAAACACTCATTAATGTGAGACAAGAGATTTTCATATGTTCTTTTCCAAAAATACGGATCAAAAACTAGATGTGCAATATTTTCGTAATCATCAATATATTTTTTCGAAGTATATAAAAAAAGTGCTGGTAAAGCAAATGCCGGTAAATTTGATAAACTTCTGTTGTTATTTATTAAATTTTTTCTTATTATTAATCCTGTTGTTAAGTATTCGTCAAATAAATTTTCTTGATCCAAGACGGTTGAATTAATATTTTCAAAATCTGTATAATATGCAGTATTAATTTTACCAGGTTTAAGGTACAATAATCCAGCTTGTGCTAAAATATAATCAAGTGACAAAAAATTAATATTTCTCTTAGATTGTGGAAACAATGGTAATATTATATCTGTAAATATCCTGTTTGCTGCTAAAAGAGTAAGTCTCGACGCTTCACCATACTCATTTTCAAATGTCGCAGTTCGTAGATTGGACAATATTTCCTTAAACAAAATATCTAATTGTATGTTTTGAGTTTTTCGAACAACCTCAGCCAAGAAGCCATAAATATTTCCATATTTATTAAACACAAGAGATTTAATAATATAGTCAAACATGGTATTCACAAAAATTATGTCAACATTTTCGTTTTCTTCTTCTCCATATAAGTCGCTACCTTTTAACAAATATCTGATTAGTTTAAGTTTCATTACTTGATTATCACGATAGTCTTCTAAATACTCATAAAGTGCATTAACAACTGGAATTTGTCTGTTTTGATCAACTTCTGGCAGATATTTTTCAATGAATAAGAAATCACTGAGTGCGTATAAGTAGCTACAGATGGATATAAACTGTACTGTTTCCAGTGGATTTGTGTAGGCTATGTTATTCATTTTTTAAATGTAGTTCCTTATATTAATATTACTTTTCCATTTAATGTTTAGACTTCTTATTGTTAATATAAGTAGACATGTATAAAGTAAAATAGTTGGGATACGTAAATCAAATCTGTTGAAAAGTAAATAATTTATTATTTATGCTATTAAAATCATACTTTTGTCTACACGGAGAAAAATGAGTTTGCTGTAATATGAATAGCAAATTTTTAGCTCTAGTAGCTAATATTTAGCTGCAACAGCAAAAAATGTTAGCTATGGAAGATAATTATTAGCTGTATTAGCTAACAATAATATAATAGCAATTGGGGTTAGCTAATGTAAGTAAATTTTAGCTAATATAGCCAACTATTTTTCTCCGTATATGTACATTGATTGAAATTTAAAAATTTATGCAGAACATTTTATTTCAATTCTGTTTAGATATATATGTAATATGTATATTTGTTGCAGTCGTATTTTGCGAAAAACCGCATTTCATGAAGTGTCACTTTGTGAAAAAAATTTATATTTTTTGGACATTTCATGAATTGCAAAAGCAGATTTATGAATTTTGTATAATTATATTCGATCTCACAATACATCCAAATATAAAATATAAATTTCATTACCTAGTATGTAACACTTTACTATTTTAACCTCTAAAATTGACGAATCTATAAATCGTCACATAAGGAATAGTTACCTGTATTTATCATTTTGAAAAAAATTAAACTGATTCACTGATTCAGATTAAAAATTAAATACTGACATTCCTATATGTACGAATGTGATAAAATAAAGTTAAACGTTTAAGCCACGTGTCACAATAGGGGGGAGGGGGGGGGGGTTCAGTGTAAAACCACTCTTGGCCACGTAGGGGGAGGGAGGGGTCAAAAAGTTGCAAATTTTTTTTAATAGAATTGTTATTAAAGTCTAATTTTTATTTAACCATATTCTTATTTAATTAAATTTTCGCTAAACCAAATTTATATTTATTAAATAAACAATTCTTTTTGCATAAACAATAAAGATTAATTGGAATTTCTATTGCATTTCAAAGAGACATAATTTTTCTATATGCTCACCAAATTTTATTAAATTTCATTAACAAGCAACGGAGTAATTGCAAATTTAGTGGAAAGGTAACAAAATATTTAATTGTTAATAAATAATTTAAAAAATAATTTTTTTAAAAACGCATTTCAGAAATCTTTTTAATACGGCTTCCTGCAATAGATTATGAAAAAAAATATTAAAATTTTTAAAAGTCAGTTTTAGGTGGCTCAGTTGGGAAATTTTCACCCATGTATCAAAAAACCAAACTTTACGAAATGAGTCTAATACTTGAATTCAAAAAGTCAAATGCACCAAAGAAACTGACTGTTAATTCTTACCTCTGTTACAACCGACCACTCGCTCCCCTACTAAACTTATCATAAAATAAATTTTCTTCCACAAAGTAGCACTTTATGAAATCAAATTTTTCACAAAACGACTACGACATATAGACTATTAAAATTAATAAGAAATATATAAATGATTGTTGCTTACCTATAAATTTTGAAGTGTAGAAATAATCACCTTCTAACTTCTATTTTATTTAAATATATAAACGAATTGTTGGCAGTTGCACAATTTTTCTTATATTTACTGTGGTGTGTTAATATTACCTTTTCAGTTTTGTTGATACAATTGTAACATTCAAATTTTAATTTTACTTTGTACTTATGTATCACTTTTTTTCTTAACAAACATATTTTTAAAGAAGTGTTAAAAAAATATTTTAAATTATTCTCTAAAACTGAATTAGTAGAATAAAAATGCAAAAATATAATTGTAATTAGATGTTACTTTTAGTTTCGACTTGTGGCTGAGTATATCATAGGTATAGGTGTAAATTTTATAAGGTTTCATGTCAAGTCAATGTATAAAATATATATTCTTCTTAATTATAAGCTTTTCGATCACATCACGTTGAACATCTTCAGTAACACTAAAATATCAATGATTAACAATCGATTAGTTGTTATTTTTGTGAATTTAAAATTATTTCTGCAATATTGCATTACAAACTTTTGCTTCTAGGTATAATTGCAAAACATCCGAGGATCCAATTTACCATGGAGATCGGAAATTTAAAAATAAATTTTCTAGATGTCACTTTAATAATTGAAAACAACAGAATTATCACAAACTGGTACAGGAAAACGACATGGTCCGGAAGATACCTCAACTATCATTCCAACACTTCTATTAAATTTAAAATTAGTACTATTAACAGTCTAGTTGATCGTGCCATAAAGCTTTCGAATAATAGATTTCATCAAGAAAACATCAACTTGATAAAGGAAATTTTGATCCAAAACAACTACCCTATAGAATTTATTAATAAACACATGCATAAAAGATTAAATAAAATTTTTAACTATAACGGCCTAAATAATCAAGTTAAAAACACTTTTCAATTCGATAAAATAGTAGTTTTACCATACGTGCATGAATTGCATAAGAAATTAAGTAACTTTTGTAAAAAACACAATCTAACACCAGTTTTGCAAACAGAAAGAAATAATGTTGACATCTTCCGATCCATGAAGGATCCGACATCGCTTCTCGACAAATCTAATGTCATATACGAAATACCATGTGATAGTTGTGATGGTGTATATATTGGTCAGACTGGTAGAAAATTAAAAAAGAGAATTTATTAACACAAAAGAGATTCGTCGAATATTGTGTAAATTGTGTAATATTTTAAATTAAGTGGATTTGTTTAAATCGCGTGAAGATGAGAATATAATTAAATTATTAAATGTTTATGTTGGTTGGAAGTTCAGCATAATTTTTATTTACAGAACTTTATGAGTATACATAAGCGTGACCGTAAAGTGCTGATACTTCGTAAATTTAATTCAGTGAGATTTCAATGATGAAATTGCCGGAATTCTGCATCCGAATCAATACAGAATTCTAATGATTTTCAATAAAATATTACTGAATTTCTCTAGAAATCTTGCTAAAGTGATTCAGTTGTTAAATTCCAGCCATTTCATCAGTGGAGTCTTACTAATTCAAATTTAGATAGTCCACATTGATATCATTCAATTATTTATAATATTTTACAATCGAATTTTTTTATAGAAAGTTTGTATTAATGTTTGTTTTTACTGATGTAAATAAATTTATAAGAATAAATACTGAAATACCTTAAGTTATACACTGAAAGAAATTTTTCGTAATTACTGCCATAATTCTTGCTGTTTCTGTCATATCGTATAACTGAATTAACATGGAACTGTTACTGCCATACAGTTTGGGTAATCCAACCAAACGAATAGTACGAATAGTAGTAGGCTAATATAACCTAACTTACCTACCAAATTGATAGACTGTATAACCAATTCAACCAGAAATCTCAACCATAAGTTTATGGCTGAAATTTCGATAGCATTTCTTTCCGTGCAATTATATTTATTAAAGTAAGTGGTAAAAAAGAGCTATAAAATTTATTTAAAATTATCTTGTATTAGTAACTACAACCTAAAATAAATTTATTCGTTAATTATACAAATGACGTTTAGTAATATTTATAATGAATACTTGCGCTTTGTAAAATCTTAGTAAAACTTTACTTATTTCCTTCAGTATATATTTTAAACAAAAAATCTCAATGCGCACAAAACAATTTTATTAATTTTAAATTATTAATTACAGTTATTATTACAAATTTCCGAAAGATTTTATTTTCTCTAAGTTGACAATTATAAAAATGTTTTATAGTTTAGATGAGATTCGTGTAATTTCTTTCATAATACTCAAATTCCATTCATACTTCTTTTCACTCGAGTGATTATACATTAATTCCACCACTAAACTGTCACCAATTTTGGTAAAATGCGTTTCCCTAACGCTTACAATGGAAAATTTAATTCCAGGTAAAAGAATTGGTGTTATTTCACTAAAATAATGAAATTGTTTTACTTTTGCTCTAAAGTAAGGTTGAGTAAATTTAATTTCATATAAAATGTTTTTATAACCAGGCTTTGCAACAGTAGCAAAATTAATAGCTGACACGTTAGTAGTGTATGTTGTCAAAAATTTTTTTAAAGTATGTATTTTTCCTAATGTGAATGTTCTGTTGATAATATCAATAGGCATGGTTTCAGTTCTCCACAATATTTTTTCAAATTCATTATCTGGATCGTCTGATTGTCTTATTGCTAATTTGTACAAAGCAATTTTCATAAAACTTGCCTCATGTGTACTATCTAATATTCTTGTATAACCGGTTGTGACAAAATTTCGAATCGCATAGTAATCTTCAAATGAAACTGCATAATTTTCCAGGTGCAAATTGAAATCTTTAATTATTTTCTCCATTGATGTACCACTTTCGATTTTTTGTCTATCTCTAAAGTGATAAATGGAATCAATCTTAAATGTTCCATCAAAATTTGTTAAAGTATTAACCTCAAGTTTCAAATCATTTTTTAATTTAAAAAATAGAGCATGATTTTCAATTATATATTGTTTACTCCATTCTGGCAAACTTAAGCTTGTGTTATTTACCCAATCCTCCACAAACTTTAAATCCATACGACCTTCATCTGGAAATGCATATAATTTCATTGTTTCCAATACCAGTTGTATTGAAAGATTAGAATTTTTTGTCAAAGCAACTTGTATACATTCAGTCATATGTCGCTTTGTTTCATTGAAACGTTCAGGCAGTGAACATTGGAATAACTTTACTAACTGAATTCCTTCACTTACGTTTTCGTAACATTTTTTTTCATCGATAAAATACACATATATTCCTAAAAACTTAGCTGCGCTTATACTCTTTCGTAGTTGGTTATTAATTTCAAAAATGTAGGATTGTCCATGTTCATAATTATCAATCTGTATTATTGAATACATTTTTTCTCCATTAGGTTTAGTATGATTTAAAGAAAGAAACATTTTGTTATTTCTTTCAAAATCAGTTCTTAAATATGCAGTTTTATATGGGGCTATATAAATATACTTATAACCGTAACCAGTATTAGTAGTTAAATTACCACTTTTTATGTATAGAGTTTGTTTTACCCCATTACTCAAAATATTTATTTGTCTCGAAGTATTAGATTTAAAAATTAGCATATTATTTAAGTAATTTTTAACACTAATAAAGGGATAAATCTTTTTGTTTTGTAATTCAGAAATTTTTAAATTTAGAAACATTAGATTTTCATTAGTTATTGATTCGATTTCAAATCCAGGTTCATCTAAATGCAATGACAATTTTTCAAAATTTTCCATGGTATTTGTATTATTTTGTAGTTGCATTGGTTTTTTTGTATTTAATTTAATTGTGTAATCACTTAATTCATCAGTTATATTTTTCAAATAAATAGTTTTAATAGTTGTACCAATTGAGGAGAGTAATGTTCGCGTTTTTTCTTGAAATATTGATAAAGATGTATTATTAAGTAATTCATTAAAATACTTTATATCATCAAATTCTCCTACATATTGAATGTGAGAATTATCCGGAGCGTTTTCTATGTTTGACTGATAAAACGGCACCAATGTTAAACCAAATTCCTTCCACCAATCACCTTTTCTTTGATCACTATCAGTAAAAGATAAATATGATTTAAGTCTTAATTTTTTATACGCTATAAATTCTTTCCAAAATACATCTAAAGACTGATTAGCTAATTTTAAATGTACACGATGAAATCGATGATTCAATAATGTTTGAATATCAACACCAATGTTTTCTTTAAAATTTTCTCTGTTATCAGCTATTTTAATTAAAGTTGTTAAATAATTTTCCCGCATTAATGCATAATATTCTGTGCTGTCATTTTTAGGGTAGTAAATGTAAAACAAATCATATGGTAATCGTGTAGTATTATCAAAAATGCCAAGCACAACATTATCATTTGGAGCTAGTAAATCTATATGTACATTTGCAGATTTTAATGATTTTAATAAAGGTTCTCCAAATGATTGCTGAATTGACTTTAAATCATGCTTTTGAAATATTTCCCCAACCTCATTTATATAATTCGTAAACGATTCAGACAAGCTTGGTAACATAAATCCCCTTAGACAATCATATAATAACGAAACAGTTGTTAGTTGAATTGGTCCTACTGAGATTAAATGTTTGCAATGAATTTTTAAAACATCTTTAAGGTTTGCCAAAAGTTTGTAAAATTTTAGAAGGACTGTGTGCAATTGGTAGTTAGTATCGTTTACCAATTTACCTGCAATTTCATTAAAAAAGGAATCAATGTAAGAAAATAAATTTTCGTAAGCTGCTTCCCAATAATAGGGATTAAAAATTATATTTCTTATATTTTCGTTTTGTACTAAGACTGTCGAAACATAGGATAATAGTGCTGGTAAAGCAAATGCCCGTAAGTTTGATAAACTTCTATTGTTATTTATTAAGTTTTTTGTTATTATTAATCCTGTTGTTATGTATTCGTCAAATAAATTTTCTTCATCCAAGACGGTTGAATTAATATTTTCAAAATCTGTATAATATGCTGTATTAATTTTACCAGGTTTAAGGTACGATAATCCCGCTTGTGCTAAAATGTAATCAAGTGAT